GCCTCACTGTTTGTGACATTCTGGAAGAGGTGCAGAGAACGACCCTCTTTTCTGTATGTGTAGCCCATGGTCAAGCAGTGCTGAGTTCTCTGCAACTGAAGTATATGCAGCACAACCGAATGCCTGCTTCCTAATTACCTGGGTACGTTTGACGCCATCCGACACCAGCAATGCTTTTGAGACACCGATGACAGGAAAACTTTAGGACGCAGGTCATGGTTCGCAACCATACAACAATGGAGCCCCTACTACAGTCTGATACACGCGACCCTTGAGACCGTGATATGCCTTTTCAACGTCACAAGTAGCGCGAATTGGCAAACGTCATCCGAATCAACACAACTGAGAGCGGTGTTGGTCGCCTTCTGGGATGTGTTACGCGTAATCCCCCTTATGTACGGGTTGGTATGCTTCAAGATATGGTTTCTAATCGATGTCAACAACGCTCCTGTCGTCAGTTTCTATTCAGATTTTTTGAACGAGTGTCTGGAGGTGCAATCAAGTTTGGTTGATTGGTTGTCCACATAGGAGCACGTAATTTAGACAAGCGGGGTGTCAGCCCCACCCTTAGATAGGGCGCATGTCAATTTGTCAGGAACAGCGGCTCGGTGGCACCTTTGGGAGGAAATGCACTTACATAATTCTGAAGCCTTTGTACATCCAGATGTCAGCTGCAGGTTGAGACTCTGGCTGGAGAACGAAAACCTTTGGGAGATTTGTTGTTCAGTTTTACGCTCACCAATCCACCTGTCTTTCCCTGGAACGAGCAGTTCATTTTTGTTATCGAGACTTTACATTACTGACGTTTCAACAACCTGTTGTGTGGATCGGCTGGAACAGTTTTTGTATATTCCGAGGTTTTCGCTTTATCTTTTTCTTCGTATCAGTTGACCAGCCAATCTCCCCAGACGTCTGTTTTCAAGTAATGCCTGAAAGTTCGTCGAATCGCGCTGCATTCCAGAAGGAATATGTATTGACAGGAATCTAAGCTAGTTGCGCTGTCCCACAAGCAGAGCGCCAATAAACTTATGGAATCTGACAGCAAAAGTCCCGATTAGGCAAGCCGTCATAGTAGGTGGTCTGTATGTCAGGGTCCGAGAGTCTCTTGACAGCTAGGTGAGGTGTGCCATTTTCTGTCCCGAAGATGCACACCAACCATGACACCAGGACCCACAGACAACCATGGTCAGGATCTACATACATACTTTATAACGTGTAGCCACTCCGCACTACAGACGCCTCAAAACAGTTTGGGAAATTACAAGGGAGGATCCACTGAATGTCGAGAACCCTATAATAGTTTCAGAAAGCCATTGGGTATACCAATTTACAAGGCCTTTTTAGCCGCTTGAAGACCATCGATTCCGCATTAATTCAACGAATGAAACATACTGCTTTCGTAAACTAGGCGGTGGTGCTCCCCCCGGCCTGACAACCTTTAGCTTCTCTCACCTACGAGACTCGCTAGCAATGTGGTTTTTTTGAAGTTGCTCACTGGTTCCTCTTTCCGGTGTTCTCATTAAAGTGGAAGAGGAAAGCGGCTGTCCAGGGCTGTGTATCCTGACCAAAAGTCCCAATCCGCCTCATTTAGGTTTACGACGGCAGCCCATCAGAAGATACATAGCAAATTATGAGGGTGTTGAAAGTCCACCCAACTTTTGGGGGCACGGAGAGAAAAGCTATCGTGGCTTAATTCTGCTAAAACGCTCTAGTAGGTCGACTAAGGTTTTTCTTCTGCATATTTAGTAATGAAATATATACCTCTGGTTTCGGGTGGGTAGTGACCATTGTAAAGGTTAAATTTATTCATATCGGGAGGGCTAATTGGTCAAAGACCACTGAAAATTTTGTATGGGGACCTTTTGTAGAACATAATTATTTTGCGATCCTCCATGGCCTCTAACATCAATGGGGACAGTATATCTTCCAAATAGAGGTCAATCCCCAGATGCTAAAAGGCTCCTTGTCCAGAGCGACCTATCCTCGAGGATGGCAGTAGTCCTCAGGGCACCTGGAATCGCAATGACCTCTGGAAGGTGGACCACACTACGTGCATCCTGTCGAAATTCAGCACATGCTATGGGCCTTATGGTGAAGATTAGTATCACGGTCGTCACAGACGTCGGACAAATTACCGAAATGGCATGCCCCTCTAATCCGGTAGCTACAGCGGAAAATTTTCCATTGGGACATATTCGCTAAACTGAAAAAACATCGGTTTGAGTATCAGTCTGCACACTCTAGAACATCAAGAAAATTGACTATCTTGTGGAAATTCTTTGGTTCACCTACGTTTATCAGTCAATTTACGATCATAAGGCACTAGTCTGGATAAGATGGCCCAAGTGGTTAGAGCGCGAATTTACTGACCGGGAGGTTCGTGGTTCGAACCCGACCTCTGCCACTCGACTTCCCCTGTCTAGGCCTGGACGACCTGGCAGTATCCCAGCCCTCGTGCTTCCTCCGGGTGGCATGGCAGCTAGGCACCGGAAAGGTGTTACAGCTGAACGATTAATTTTAATTTAGTATGGATGAGAGGTTCCGATGAACTAACTGTCCCTCCTAAGGCAGTGAAACCCTTATTCCAGGCCACCAACAGCGGGAACATGAGTCAGCTCCGATGGTGAACGGATGAGTACTTCGATACAACAGTCCCGGTGACGCTGTTGTTTAACCATTCTCAGCAAATTCTCTGACGTTGTTTAACCATTCTCAGCAAATTCTCTGCCGTTGTGAAGATCACACTCTGTTGTGCCGGGGCTAGAAGTGCACTCTCAAGAAAAACCTGCATGGTGCTACAGGCTGTCAGCATAAGGCTTCTCATGTTATTCCAAGACATGTCCGAAACATAAAATTCTAACCACACTTCAAATCACACTCCGTATTACTATATCACTAATAAAGAGGAATTATATAAACATAAACAGACGGTCGAATCCCAGTGATATCACGACGATGGCGGCAGAGTGGAACCCGTGCGCTTTAGACAATAACATAGGTCGCGTCCTCGGGTGGCTCCGACAAGTGCTTGAAGAATCTTGCGGGGATCAACTGATGCTCTCATCAGTCGAGGCGAAGCCCACTCAGTTGGTTCCTCATCCATGTGCCGAATCACCGAAAGATCGTCGATCGTTATAAGCGGACGAATTGGAACAATCGAGAAGTGTGGACTGGATTATTTGCCCGTGCATATAAGGTTCGAACTGCACGTCAGCGATGAACGAAAGAAATGGCTGAGGAAATATATCATGTTGTCCTCCTTGAAGATCAGTAGAAATATTTGAGCTGGAATGGGGTGACAGCAGGCTGGCTGCTGGGAGGACCACGCCCCATGACCAAGCTTGCCTTTCCTGAAGAGTCATAATCCAACTGAAATATATACACGCAGCAACCTGTCACGATTTGGTTGCAGTATGAGTTGCATCCCCACAAACACCGGATCTCTAGTTCCACTGCCGCACTTCACGTGCCACTCAGGAATGGCACTAATAACATGAGAACAGATACACGTTGGCCTCGGCAAGGACTCCACAAACTTGACTGCTGATGTTTGCAAGAGACAGCTCAGTGGTTAAGATGTGAAAATCACTGACCATAAGGCCCGCGGTTTAAATCCAACCTCGGCATCTCAAATGATTCGTTAGAAGACGATGGACCTCACAACGGTGTGGCGGTTCGTGTACCTTAGCGACCCATTAAGCTACACTGGTGCTCGCGCGACACTCACGGCCTCTCATACCAGGTGGTCAATGGGTAAAGGTCTGACGAACACAGACTCCTGGTTCTCGAGGTTGAAGGTTGGGAAATGTGTGACGACGTGCTCCGTGAAAAATGGAAATGTACTTGCAATTC